TGTAAATATTAAATTGTTGAAATCATGACCCCCGGGGGTAGGGCAGGGCCACAATAGGGAATCCAAGTTTTACATAGAAATATATAGAACAAATCTTTAAAAATCTTCTTCTTAAGAACCACTTGGCCAGGAAAGCTGAAACTTATGTGGAAGCATCCTTAGGTAGTGTAGATATTAAATTATTAAAAGCATGACCCCCGGGGGTAGGGCGGGGCCACAATAGGGAATCCAAGTTTTACATAGAAATATATAGAACAAATCTTTAAAAATCTTCTTCTCAAGAACCACTGGGCCAGGAAAGTTGAAACTTAGGTGGAAGCATCCTTGGGTAGTGTAAATATTAAATTGTTAAAATCATGACCCCCGGGGGTAGGGCGGGGCCACAATAGGGAATCCAAGTGTTACATAGAAATATATAGAACAAATCTTTAAAAATCTTCTTCTCAAGAACCACTGGGCCAGGAAAGCTGAAACTTATGTGGAAGCATCCTTTGGTAGTGTAAATATCAAATTGTTAAAATCATGACCCCCGGGGGTAGGGCGGGGCTACAATAGGGAATCCAAGTTTTACATAGAAATATATAGAACAAATCTTTAAAAATCTTTTTCTCAAGAACCACTGAGCCAGGAAAGCTGAAACTTATGTGGAAGCATCCTTGGGTAGTGTAGATATTAAATTGTTAAAATCATGACCCCCGGGGGTAGGGCGGGGCCACAATAGGGAATCCAAGTTTTACATAGAAATATATAGAAGAAATCTTTAAAAATCTTCTTCTTAAGAACCACTTGGCCAGGAAAGCTGAAGCTTATGTGGAAGCATCCTTAGGTAGTGTAGATATTAAATTATTAAAAGCATGACCCCCGGGGGTAGGGCGGGGCCACAATAGGGAATCCAAGTTTTACATAGAAATATATAGAACAAATCTTTAAAAATCTTCTTCTCAAGAACCACTGGGCCAGGAAAGCTGAAACTTATGTGGAAGCATCCTTTGGTAGTGTAGATATTAAATTGTTAAAATCATGACCCCCGGGGGTAGGGCGGGGCTACAATAGGGAATCCAAGTTTTACATAGAAAAGTATAGAACAAATCTTTAAAAATCCTTTTCTCAAGAACCACTGAGCCAGGAAAGCTGAAACTTATGTGGAAGCATCCTTGGGTAGTGTAGATATTAAATTGTTAAAATCATGACCCCCGGGGGTAGGGCGGGGCCACAATAGGGAATCCAAGTTTTACATAGAAATATATAGAACAAATCTTTAAAAATCTTCTTCTTAAGAACCACTTGGCCAGGAAAGCTGAAACTTATGTGGAAGCATCCTTAGGTAGTGTAGATATTAAATTATTAAAAGCATGACCCCCGGGGGTAGGGCGGGGCCACAATAGGGAATCCAAGTTTTACATAGAAATATATAGAACAAATCTTTAAAAATCTTCTTCTCAAGAACCACTGGGCCAGGAAAGCTGAAACTTAGGTGGAAGCATCCTTGGGTAGTGTAAATATTAAATTGTTAAAATCATGACCCCCGGGGGTAGGGCGGGGCCACAATAGGGAATCCAAGTGTTACATAGAAATATATAGAACAAATCTTTAAAAATCTTCTTTTCAAGAACCACTGGGCCAGGAAAGCTGAAACTTATGTGGAAGCATCCTTGGGTAGTGTAGTTATTAAATTGTTAAAATCATGACCCCCGGGAGTAGGGCAGGGCCACAATAGGGAATCCAAGTTTTACATAGAAATATATAGAACAAATCTTTAAAAATCTTCTTCTCAAGAACCACTTGGCCAGGAAAGCTGAAACTTATGTGGAAGCATCCTTGGGTAGTGTAGATTCTAAAGTTTTTAAATAAAAAAGGGAAGGGGGTTGTTGGGCATGATTGGTATAGCAAGAGGGGGAATCTGGTAAAGATCTGCATCACCCAAGTTACTCAGGTGAGCGATGTGGCCCATGGGCCTCTTGTTTAATGAAATACAATAAAATAAAAATTAATTTTAGGTTTTGAATAACTCAATGAAAATCTGCTGCAACATTAAAACACCCCTCCATACGTCCCAATGAAAGGAAGCCAATGTTGTGACACACGTGCGCTGGTCAAATGATAATTACCTATCAACACCCCTCCGGGCAATTAATTGTCTACCAACTCCAAAGCAATGTTTTTACAGTTACAGACTGATTATTTACTGTCCTGTTAATTGCTTTGATTATTTATCTATTATTAAACAGTTAAACACTTGTTAAATGTAATTTTAACTTATCTTATACTTATCGGCCTCTTGTTTAAATGATTGAGAGTTGACAAATGAAATATGAATTATGCTAAAACTTAAGTGTTATCATTTATTCGTGCTCTTTAGAAATTCAGATATCCGCGAAGATTCAGAAGAGTAAAATCGTAGTCTTCTTAATGAAATAAATACTTTTATGTTTCAATTTTGTGTCCTGTTAAAGTATTGTAACATAATTTTCAGCATGATTGCCTAGAACCAAAATTAAATATGACAACTGTTAAAACTTTCAAAAATATCTCTTACTTTGTTGAAATAAAATTATTTCATCTAAGAATATGGCGACGCATAATTTCAAAATCACTGTAACTCTGCTTAAAAAAATTCTGTCTACTTTTACGCAACATTATCGTGTGCTTTGTTGAAATAAATGAATAAATAATTTTCTTCAGATTGCCGCGATATGGAATGTCAGGATTAAGAGAAAGTTATAAAGTGTGCATTTTAAAAAAGTGTGTTCCATAAATTTTTGACACTTAATCCTCGCGCCGATTTTCGTAACAAATTACCGCGATTTTCAAAGTTCAGAACATTGCTTGGTAAATTTATCTGTTGCGTATAATACATCCAAACTGCGTTTTTTTCCCCAGTTTCAGACTCAAAAAGGGGGGTGCGTATTTTACATCAATGCGTATTTTACTCGGCCAAATACGGTACTATTTAATATCTTCAGTATTTATCCATTAAATCAGGGCGTGTAAACTTAGTTGAACTTTTGCTGCTATTCTCTTAAGAAGGTACTTTAACAAGTGCATTGTGGGTCCAGAGTTGCTGAGGAAAAAATTCTGATGAACGAATGTGCAGTAGTTTGAATTTTGTCTTCGCCCAGGCGTTGCTTTAAGAGCTTGCAGTGACAAGCGTCACTTCACAACGATCATTGCACTCGCTATTAATTGCATTATGGAAAATATAATGTGTTTTTACTATTTACTTTAAAGCCTTTTTTTTTCTTTACAGTTAAACTTGCCTTTGATGATGACATCAAGCTAGAAAGAGACCAGAAATCCTTGTTAGTAGTAAATCAATACCTTTTAAGAATTAGATCAATTGAGTAGTGTTGAAATCCCCCTCCACAATATGTTAGGTATCACAATACTTGGGTCACAATTCAATTTTTTTCAATCTGATAATGTGTACTCTGATATCAAAAGGCAACAAGGATTGCAAAAAAGTGGGAAATACTAATATTTCCAAGGACTGTGAGAAATACTAGTAATTCCCAGGAATTACTGGTATTTCCCAGGAAATACTGGGAAATAAGAAAGAGATACATATTTCTAACTTTAATCATCTTGTTTGAGTATAGACATGAAGTAAATCTTATTGTCTAAGTTATCAACCTAGTATTACTTTTCATGATAGAAAAAATGATTTCCAAATATTTAATTTTATTATACAAATATGGACTCAATGTAGGTCAATATGCATTTACAATGACCCAGGATGACAGATATTGGCCGAAGATACATGTAGTATATAGACCGAGGGCGCTAGCCCGAGGTCGATATACTTCATGTATCTGAGGTCAATATCTGTCATCTTGGGTCATTATAAATGCATATTGACCGTGCATTGAGTCCATATTTATTATATTATATAAATAATAATTTCCCAAATTTATTTGTGCAATGTATATCATCCTATTATTTACAGAGATAGTATTAACCATAAATAAGTTGAATGTAAATGTTTCAGAATTCATTGAATATTACTCAGAGGAAATTGTTTCTGCAATAAATTTCCCATATCATAATAATGACACAAGATATCTATCTCCGAATAACCGCGACACAGAGTAACCCCTCCCCCAGATTGAGAATCGCTCTCGTTTACACTTGCAGACGAAATGCACTGACAAAATAGATATCCTATGTCTTCTAAGAACAGATACAATCTTATACATGGCATGCTTGTCTATATTTTCTTTAGTCTTCGTAATCGCGTAAACAGCGTCAAAACTCTGCTCGCCGAGTTGAAATGTCGAACTCAATCATGAAATGGTATGTGCGTATTATTCCCGAAAAATATTCACAAATATCCTATAATTGTTTTGTATTATCAGTCTCAGAATTCTTCACTATATGTTTTAAATTTTCCTCATCTACAACTTGCGAACTTCCATGTTTGTCTAAAGCGAAAGTGAAAACGAGGCAGCTCGTGCGAGTCATTATTCGCTTTCAGCGGTCGTTATTAAAAAATAAGTACTTCGTATTGACCAATCAGATTACCGGATTTCACAAAGTTATATAATATTAATTAATAATTTTAAAACAGTATACGTATACTTGTATACCAGTCAATAAAATGAACATATAGGTATCCAATTTGGATTTTTTATGTAAATAAAGAAGGATAAAAGAAAATTTAATGTGTATTTTAAAAAACCTAAAAGAATCCTAAAAAGTTCTACTCAAGGTAATTATATCTCTCACAAAAAAAAGTTTAAAATTTTTTAAAACAACATAATTTAGTAATTAATGCTGTGTGAAAGAAAGAAAACAAGTTTATCATGTTTATTGTTTCTTGCATTTATAATTTAATAAACTTCAAAATTATACTAAACCGAAAAGACACTTGAATCGGAAAACTTCAGTTTTGTTCTCAAGATACAATGAGGGAAACATGTTCTGCTACAGAATGCATAATTATGGGTAGGGGGCCTATTTTAGTGAGATACATGTACTTAGTATTTTAAATTGCAGACATATCAATTTTATTAATCTTAAGTTTTTTTTTATGTTCACTTTTAATATTTCTGAATTTTGTGTAGGGTTAAATTAATTACAAGAAAATAAAAATCTAAAATTTTGTATCTCCCAGTATTTCCCAGTTTGAGTAAAATTTGTAGTATTTACTGGGACAGGAAATACAGGTATTTACCTCTGGTAATTCTCACCACTGGTATTTCCAGCCAACCCTGAAAGGCAAGTAAAAGGTTTGATACAATAAAGAGCATTAATGATTAAAAGAATATTTTGTTCATGTCAATACTAGAAGTGACAGTCTACTCTGAAACTTTCTTCCTCACCATTTTGGATTTTTAGGTGACCTGAGTGACTCAGGTAATGTATTGCTATCTGTTTTCATCTGTCGTTGTTCGTCATCAATCATAAAACTTTTGAACATTTTTATCTTCTTTGCTGGAACCACTGTACCAATTTCAACCAAAATTGGAATAAAGCATCTATGGGTGAAAATAAAGCATATACGTTGAAAAATATATCAATTACTGTATAGGGGAAAAATAACTCGCGGTGTTAATGTTAGCTTTATTCACGGTGTAGATCAATCCTTGAATTCAAGAAACGGTGAATAAATTTTCAATAATCTCCATGTTTTATTTGGAAATTTGAAAATAGACAACGATAGGTTTATATACATGTAGTACATGGTCATCTCAGCCTATAGTAATTATGAGTATTACTTGTCAATCAGTTATTTTATTTATCATGCTTTACTTTAATTCTAATCAGCAGATAATAACCTGTTTTTGTTCAAAAGCTGTTTTAATAGCCAACGCTAGGGGGTTAGGGTTTAGGGTTAGGGGGTTAGGGTTAGAACTGCACTCATCAATCAAAACATGGGCCATATGGGTTTTGATTACCTATGCGTAACTAATTCTTACCTGCATTATCATGCATATATTAGTTTTCAGCTCTTCTGAGCCAAAGGCTCAAAGAGCTAATGCTATGGCCATTTGTGCGGTGTGCGTTAACTTTTTAGAAAATGGGCCATAACTCAAGAACGCCTTGGCCAATCAGTGTCAAATTTGTCACAGGGTATCCTTGGCCCAAGGGCTACCATTTATTATAAAATAAGGGTTGGGACCCTTATACAAGGGTGGATAATCAGGAAAACAAAACCAAAAGTACTGTTTGCTAAAAAATCTTCACCAGAACCACCGGGCAGATTTTCACCAAACTTACACACAAGGATTAGGATATGTTGAAGATTAAAAATTGTTCAAGGCATGACCCTGGGGCAAAGGGCGTGGTCTCAAGGTCACTTCAAAGTTGACCTAAATTTACAATTAATAAAAACATTTATATTTTGCTTACTTTAAGGAGTAGGATCATCAAATCTTGTAAGTTGATGCATCTTAAGACTTCACATCATGTTAAATCAAAAGTAGGTCACCGTGACCTACTTTTTTAATTTTGCGGGCATTTGTTTTCAAATTGATTTGAAGGCATATTTTGGACACTTTAAGGCCTATGATCATCAAACTTTGTTAGTTGATGCATCTTGGGTCCTTGAACAACGTCAACTTAAAAGTAGGTCACCTTGACCTACTTTTTGAACTTTATGACTTATCCTTTTTAAAACATTTAATCCCATTATTGCAGACACTGAGAGGGTTAGAATCATCAAATCTTGTAAATTGCTGCATCTTGGGACCTTAAAACATATTTATGAAAAAGTAGGTCACTGTGACCTACTTTTTGAATTTTGCAGGCATATGTTTTCATATTGTTTAAAAGGCATATTTTGATTACCTTCAGACCTACGATCATCAAACTTGGTCAGCAGATGCATCTTCGGACTTTGAAAAATGTTGACTAAAATGTAGGTCACGGTGACCTACTTTTGACATTTTATGGCTTTATTTAACTAATAGATTAAATTGGCTAAGATCATCAAACTTTGTCAAGTTGATGCATCCGGTTTTCGGAGAGTGACAAACAAAGTAGGTCACGGTGACCTACTTTTGACATTTTATAGCTTTATTTAAGTATCTTAGGTATTAATAAGCAGAGAATCATCAAACTTTGTGAGTTGATGCATCTTAAGTTTTCGGAGAGTGATGACCAAAAAGTAGGTCATGGTGACCTACTTTTGACATTTTATAGCTTTATTTAAGTATCTTAGGTATTTATAAGCTTAAATCATCAAACTTTCAAACAGTTATCACTTGAGAAAAAGAGTGATGAAAAAATAGGTCATGGTGACCTACTTTTGAATATTCGGATACATATTGCAAGAATATATAAAATCAGTTGATGTATTTTGGCTTTCGAAAATCACCTACTAAAAGTTAGGTCACAGTGACCTACTTTTAACATTTCATGGCTATAATTAAATCTCCAGTTCTTATTGGCTTGGAATAATCAAACTTTGTCAGTTGATGCATTTTGTTTTTAAATCAATATATCAATATAAAGATTACAGAAATATCTCTAAATTTTATTGGCTTCAAAAATCTTAAATTTCTATTAATGGTTATTGAGTCCGTAAAATTTCAATCTTAAAGTAGGTCATTGTGAAAAACCATATTTTATAGCTTTTTAAACAAATGATCATTTTTGGTTAAGAATCATCAAACTTTGTCAGTTGATAATCATTTTATGATAATTATGGTTCAGGCTTCAAATAGAAGTGATAGGTTGTACAATTTATCAGAAGAGCGATTCAAGGCCCTTGGGCCTCTTGTTATTCATTTTGGTTTTAAAGAATTTTTCAAATACTAGAAAAATTACTGAAGATGTAGAAGGATATTATTTCGTCGACCTACTTTACACATTTACCGTTTAGGCCAAAAAAAATTAATCAATAGTTTCTCAGGCACCGCCGCATAGCCATAAACGGCCACATTGATCAATTTTATTGACATATTGAAAGGGAAATAACTCAATACTTTTTTTCCAAGTTGAGGAAGTAAATCATTTGGTTTTAATGTTCATAAATCTAAGATAACACGTTGTTTATTAGAAAAACAATATATTTCTTCTAAATCTAAAGTATTTTATCAGTCAACTTTTAAATAAATGTTTGGAATAAGATTATTTAATGTTAAATACATATTATAACTAATTTTTGAGAACAAAACTTAAGAATTAGTAGATATTATCATTTTATTGAAAATACAAAGAAAGGTGTAATAACTGCTTTGAAAACAGTGAAAAGGGAAAAAAAAAGTGTGCCGCATTGAATTTTGAATTTTTTGGCCTGAGAAACTATTAATTAATTTTTTTTGGCCTTAGTGGTAGCATATAGGAAAGTCATTTGACATTTCAAGTCAAGGCCTTTTGATAATAATTGCACTAGCTTTAAGGACAGATGATACAAAAAAAAAATGGATGCCTGGATTGGTATATATTTTGTGGGCTA